CTAGGTATTCGTATTGTGGTTTGTCCTCCTCTGGCTAATAGCCATTTAGAAACCACATACCAAGGCTCGTAAATACAATTTCAATTTACTAAAGAGCAATACAACTCGCTTCAACGGCTAGGAGTAAGTAATTTTTAGTAAGAACAGAAATAAATGCAAATAAAAGTCAGGCCTATTCAACTTATAAAAATTAAACGTTTACTAAAGTTTCACAGATTAACAGCTTTTCTTATTTGTTGATATTTATAGAGCTTTTTGATAGCAATGAAAGGCATCTTTTTTTTTAAAGAGATTTAAAAACATGTAAAAATAAAGTAAAACCACATAAAAGACTTATGTCGCAGACACCTTTTTGCTGTTTCTTTTGATTAACTTACAAAGAAATTGTAGGACACAAAGTTATTGTTAAATAGCGTTTTCTTGACTTTGCGTATAAGAAAAAATATTTTGTTTTCCCCCAATTCAACATGGTTACTTTTGATTTCGCAATATAGTCACGTGACTCCGACTGGATGGATCATTAAAAAGCACCTAAACTATGCAACTAGTCAGTAGGTTCCTCTAGCTTTTCCCTGTTGAGCCCTTGCTTTTAGTTAAAAAATTTAAATATCTTATCTCCACTTGTCAAGTTAAGAAATAAAAGTAACGCGTCTTTTTCTACTGTGATAGCTCCAACCCTCTTTGTTGATATATTTAATTGTTTATATACTCTTATACTTGTTTAAGTTCATAGAAAAAATTAAAAAAATTAAAAAAAGCGTGGTAATTTTTTTTTCATTTATTTTTCAATTCCACACAACCTGCGTTAAGTTGCGTTTTAAAACATTCACTTATAAACATAAGCTTTTCCATACATTTTGATGTTTTGCAAATATATGTGTTTTGCATTTATATTTTTAACATATACGAGTATAGGGAAATTTAATATTATAATGGTATATAAAAGTATATAAAAACCTTTATCCGTTATTTTAATATGTTATGTTAGTAACCAAATAACTGTGTTTGTGTTTTTACTTGGTAAAATGTCAAAAATGATAATAATGTTTATGTATAATTATAATCAATGAGTTATAAATATACGTGAGTACTTTTAAATTTACACACTTGCTAAGCTACTTATGAAGAGGCGACGCTAAACAATTTGTGGTCATAGACAAAAAGGTATATTGTCCTGAATTAAATCATGCTTAAAACAAATATTGAAGAAAACGCAAAGCTTAATACGCCAACCCCACGCATTTATTCTTTGAAAAACAACATTATAATTTAGCTGTTAAATGGTGGCTGGTAATTTGATAATAACAGAAAAAAGGTAACTCCCAATTACGAAAATTAGTAAATGATAAAGTTATTTATTTCATTTATGTTTATAATGGTTTGTTTGTGACATATTTGTGAGTTGTTTATTTTAAAACTTGCTTTAGAGTTTGTCATTTTTAATACACGTTTTACTGTAGCGTTGAAGCCGTTTTAGCTAATAATCATTGAAAAATACAAAAAGGTAGCTTAAACGCGGAGCAACTTTTTCGATTGTGACGCAACTATGTTACTTGTTTTACCCCACGGTCGGTATGGACACGCTGAAATGATTTTAAAATAAATATCTAAGAACAAAACGACTTTAAATTGGCGGTTACAAATAGAGCGCCATAATTTGGAAATCTATATCGAAACTCAATAACTCAAGCGAAACGGACAGCAAGTACGTCTAAGTTTATGATCGTGGTGATCGTTGATCAATTTTACTTCCGAAGGAGAGAGGCGATTTTTTTTGTATCGTTTGTATAATTATTTAAACGCGCCTTTTATTTGGCGGTTGAATTGCTTGGGTTTATTTAGCGCTTGAGATTCTTATGTTTATTTGACGCTATAGATTCGCGTATTAATTTTAAAAGTTTTATGATAGACCAAATAAAATTGTATGTCTTTTAAGATATAAATGTTTTTTGAGAATAAATGATTTTATAGAGGATTCAAATAATAACGATTAAAATTTAATATTATTTTGATTTTTTGCCTTGTTACAAACACTAAATACACTATCAATTTATTTGCATATAGTATACATAAACCATATGGTAATAAGAAACTTTTTGTTCGCTTTATTAAAACACATGTTTCGGTTAATAAATTCGTTTTACTCGTTTAATGTCGGTTAAAATTGCTTTCCTTAGTCTTTTGTTGAACAACTAAAATACATTTTATTGCAATCAATACTATATCACTTTGTGAGCTCGTATGACCTTAAATGGAAAAACACGTTGCAACGAGAATTTACATTGTAAAAGGTCGTTTTTTGAAATTGTGACGTAAATATTTTTTAAATAAGTTTGATCATAAAATGGATTGTTTTTAAAATAAAAAATTATCTTCGAAGCTTCGAAACAAAAGTAAATGCTGCAGATGTTTAATAATACAAATAAATAAATAGCAATACACTACCATTGAATCTTTTATTATTAAATTGAACAGTTAATTACAATATATCCACTTTGCCTGTGGTTTATATATAATTTACATTTCAATTTACAAAATAGATTATTGTTGTCATTTTTGTGTTTAGATAAATTAAAACAAACAAAATGCCATAAAACATTTTCTTTTTTTATTCTTTGAAACTTTGTTTAGGTCAATAACATTTTAAAATCTTTTATTTTGCTAATGGAGCATCAATAGCTGTCTAGTAACTTTGGCTGATTTTTGTTATAAGTTGAAAAGTCATAAATTTTCAACCGGAAAGCTCAATTGGTTTTTTTCTATAGATTTGCAATTCATTGAATTATATTCTTGTTGTCAGTAGTATTGTTTAAACATGCAAACAATTTGAAATATATCTATTACAATGCAGGAGTCAAGACCCCACAATATAAATCCAGAGACAGAAGTTTCCTATAGTTTTAAAAAGATTTCAATATCGAATTATATCGTTTCAAATTTTTCATACACTAAAATCTATTCACCTAAATGTTAGAAAGAAAAACAATCACAAATTATTCTCTTTTTTAATTGATTAACCGTGTTATTTTTGATGTTAATACATTTTATTGCAAATGAAGAAAAATGTTCATTTCAAATAATGAAAATTAATTTTGTTTTTATAAAGTGTTTTTATTTGATAAATTCATTTGTAGAATTCTTTTATGGACAAAGTAAATTGCGGAATTAATTGATTCTTCATAAATATTTGAAAGTGCGGCCTCTTTGATTTTCACAAAAATAGAAAGTAAAAAAAAAGAGTTATAAATATGATTATATTGAAAAATATTTTATTAAATATTTCATAGATTACAAACATATACTCTATTAATATTTTATTTCACAAATGTATTTTATTTTTTTAAGTCAGCATTACCGTTTATAGGCTAATAAATTAGTTACATTATGTCACACAGATAACCGGCATAACGCCGTTTAGGTGTAGCACACAAGTTTGTAACGTTTTTTACCAGCACTAAAATGTCATACTAAAGTCAAACATTTTAGTTTGATATGTTTCTAGTAAGAGAGACAAGGTTAAACTTTCAACTCTCAAGAGAGATGCAAACTTCTATAAAACGTTTATAAAACGTTTTTATATGTTTTTCTTGAAAAAGTACATTTAATAGCAGCATGCTATTTATTGTTTATAATTGTTTTTATTTTGGGATAAGTGTAAGTTTTTAGCTCCTGATAGTCCATACCTTTCGATGCTCTTAAAAGTTTAAAATAGTTAAAATTAAAAATGTAATAAAAATTGTTGAAATTAACTTTGATTAAACATTAAAACAGCATTATTTTCTGCTTAGGTGTCAATATATTATCATAAACTTCTCATTATTTAAATTGAGATTTTATCAACATTGTAGAAAATCTTCTCTGTATTGAAAACCGACGCAGAAGGTTTTGTGAAAAAAATTGTCTGTGATTCACAAAAATAAATTATACAATTTAAAACATACATTATTAATATTTAATAGGGAACAGTTTTGATTGCTATTAAAACTCAAAAAAACAATTTTTGATTACCTTCAATGCTTGTTTAAAATGTTACAAATTTAAAAATAAAGTAGTTTTTAAGGAAATTAAATACACACACACAGATATATATATATATATATATATATATATATATATATATATATATATATATATATATATATATATATAATATATATATATATATATATATATATATATATATATATATATATATATATATATATATATATATATATATATATATATATATATATATATATATATATATATATATATATATATATATATATATATATATATATATATATATATATATATATATATATATAGTTTTAGCATTTGCATAATTTGTTAAACAGTTATGTTTTAAATTCTAAAAATTAGATATAACGATTTAAGTTGTTTTTAAAAACTAAACAAAAAACGTCTTAATCATTAAAATTAGGACCCAAAATATGTTTATAGGATAATATTTTTTATTAGATTTTATAATACTTTTAGCAAAAGAGCGTTAAAAAATTAGCTTAAAAAAAAATTAAAATCACGCTTTGGCCAATCAATAAAAATAGAGTTTTCTTATTAATGTCGTTTTTAATTCTATTCTTCATAACATAATTACTATTAGTATTATTATGTATTAAGCTCATTTCATTACATAGCACGAAACAGCACCATATTTTTGTTTTGTTGGGTTGTTGACCAATATTTTCTTTTAAGTTTGCCGAGTATTCTGTACATTCTTCTTCATTTTCATTTTTTTGGCTTAATTAAATTGCTATTGTTTTTCATTATTTATCAAAACAAAAAATAAAATATTCAACACATCTTCTTTTTCACATGCTCAATTGTCAAATAATTCAGTTCTATGTTTTAAAAAGCAACTAGTGCGCATGTGCAACTTTTAAAAGTGAGTATAACAGCGAGCGTAACAGAAAGTTTAAACCAATTAGAGAAATACGCTTAACTGTGAACATCTTCTTAAAACGAAGTTAGATTTTTTTATGGTTGTTAAGGATATAGAATGTCTACTTCGTTTTTAATAGATTCTCTAATACATGAAAAAGAAAAGTATAAGATACGGCAGCAGCCTGGAACATCTTTTTTATTTCGTGAGTCATCTCCTCCAGATCGATCGCCGAGTTATTCACCCGGTGCGTCAATGATTAGATATTCCAATTCTTCTTCTCCAAGAAGTTTAGATTCACCTATAAATCCATTGGATCGACACCCTCTTGAAAGAGTACATCAAGTAGTTAGTTGTATGAGAGGACCTTCGATGTGTAATTGTTGTCGGCCTCCGGCTGTTCAACCTATGTGTACAGTATGTGAACCTAGGGAACCAGGTGAAGGTACCTCTTCACAATATCCTTATACCCGCGAACCTCATGAACATACAAGAGGCTTGTATGGAAATGATAGATCAAGACTTTTTCCAATATTATCACCTTTACACGGGCAAAGAGCGCAGTTTTCCCCGAATTACGGTAAGCTCAACTTTTATTTTTCATAAAAAGTTTTTGTTTTTAATTTGCAACTTTGTTATTTGTGAAAAAAAAGTTAGTTAAACGTATGTACGGAATACAAAAATAAATAAAACTGCTTTGTTAGTAAATTCGGCATTTTAGAGTGTAAAGTTTTAGTTAAAAGTTTAAAAACTGTTCACAAGTTCGGCATAAATCGCGCACTTTTTTTATCACTAAATTTGAGCGCCCTTTTGCACTAATGGTCGCGTCTATTTAAGCGGTATATAATGTCCTGAATGACATAAGATGACCCTAAATGAAACGCTATTAAATTTATTTTTAACTTATTTTTTTCATTTAGTTTACGATTTGGAACTTCGTCATTCCCGTCAACTTCAACTGCAACACCAAGAACACGAAACAGATCTTTACGGAAAATCTAAACGCATTCGAACCGCGTATACTAGCATTCAGTTACTTGAACTTGAAAAAGAGTTTCAAAATAATCGTTATTTATCGAGATTACGGAGAATCCAGATAGCTGCTATTCTCGATCTAACAGAAAAACAAGTTAAAATATGGTTTCAAAATCGACGTGTAAAATGGAAAAAAGATAAGAAAGGATATAGCTATTCCCCTACTGGAAGTCCGCAATCTCCAGAATAACTACCGATTTTCTTTCTCAAAAGTTCTTCTGCATCTTTCAAAACGAAGATATTTTTTTATAAAAACAAACAAACGATATTAAAATGATTTCCCATAGTCATTTTATAATATGTACATAAAAATTCATCAATAATTTATTCATCTTTTACGACATTTTTTTGTTTATCTTTGTATACTGAAACTTTATTTTCAGGTGAAGCGTAAGTTATTCCGAATTCCAAAGAATTATATTTTTTATAAAAAATATTATCTATTTTCAAATATAATTTTCTTAGTTTGTTTTTAAATTATTAAATTTTTTGAAAAAAGAAAACAAGCAAAAAATAAAAAGCATTGTTTATGATTTGACAGTTTTATTAAATTATAAACAATTTATAGAATTTTAACAAATAATAAACAATTAAACAAAATTATAAATTATAAAATCATAAAACATAACAAAAACTGTTTTAAAGACATATGCAAATGTGCCAAAGTTTTCCGTTACACAGTTAATGTACATATTAATCTTTTGCTCTTTTTCTTCTTTCTATCTTTCTAAGAAAAAAATGATAATAATAAAAAATAGTGGTGTATAAGATCAATGAAAGGGTTTTAATCGTAAATCCGGCGGGGTTTTCGGGGCAATATTGACACACCCACAAGTGATTTTAGTCCACACAAAAACTTAGCAGTATATATTCCCAGTGATTTTTTTTTGATATACATTTTGTAGATGTTTATATGCACACAAATTAACAGTTATGTTTTTATTAATATTGAACATAAACATTAGAAGATAATAAATATTTATTTGTTAGACACTCATTACGCTTCATAAATATGGTTCAGAAATGTTTCAAACGACCCTCATTGGATATAATATTGATTGTATTTTTTTTTTTTACCTAAGACTTTTTAATTATTTTGTTTATTTTAACATGTACTGCATTAAGTCAGGTGTTTATGTCAAGCAGTACACTTAGATAATTTTATGTAATTTTTCTTTTTATATCGGTGGCAATAAAAGTTTTCTATGAGTTTATGCCACCAAAACTTATGCCCAACCTCCAAATCTTCAAATTACATCTGAAGTTTTGGAGGTTGGGCATAAGTTTTAGGTTTTTTTTTTTAATGTATCAAGCTGTAAAGCAAAATAAAGTCGCAAATTTTTCATACGTTTCAAAACTTTTATAACAGACTAAAATTACAAAAAAGGCTCAATTCATCGGTAAAATTTATTTGAAGCGTTTTTGAATTTTAGTATTTAAATTTGTCGTAATAATTAAAAATGTTTAATAAGTCACTTATGTTTCCTGAAAACTTTGTTTCATTTATTTATTTATTTGCTTCTTAGAGTAGCAAAACACCTGCATTATTATCTAAGATACAAAAAAAAAACTTTTAATTTGTTTATTGGATCAAAAGGAAGGTAGTCTGGTTTGTTTTACAGCTTTTGACAATTGTCAACAACTCTGGTTGGCAATAATAATAGGAACGAAGCTAGTTTCCAGTCATCCTTTCATATGGTATTGGTGTTTTAAGCAAAGTAACAGACTATATGCATGAGATACGATATTTAAATTTAATTTGTGACATTTGAACTAATTAAACACTTTTTGCAGTTTGTCATTCATAGTCAAAACAGTTAGTAAATACCAATAATAAATAAGATAGGATGGTATCATATGCAAAAATGATACTTAATAAATTTGAGGCCTTATATAAGTCATTTACGAACATCAAGAATAAAAGTGGTATTCAGAATCTTATGAGCAGTGTTCCAGCAGTGATACTGAAAAGATGTTGAAGGGTCATCATCATTACCTAAAAGACAAAAAATAAATTTAGCTGTAAATTTAGTAATTTCTCCAAAGATTAGCACCAAAAAAGCACATTAAGTCTACAAAACTCTATCAAATGGTGGAATTTCTTTTCCTAATCCAACTCAAATTGATGTTAAACAAATTATATGAAAAACCTAAAAAATGAAAAAAGGTCTTTGCACTTTAATGGAAAGCACATAAATAAATTTTAAGATCTAGTAGTTGTTTTGAAAAATGAAAAGAGAGAGGTTGGACTTGCTGTTCTTGAGCTGATGAATGAAAAAGGTAAAACAATATTTAATGGGATAAAGCTTGTGCTGGATGAATATGAGCTATGGCCAGCCATAAAAGTGTTTGTGTCTGACACAACATCTGCAAATACAAGAATAAAAATTGGTAAAGTAATACTGCTACAGAAACAATTCAAAACGATTGGACTAGAAAAGCCTGCTTTTATAAGTTGCCAACACTCTAATCTAACACCCTAAACACCCTATTCTAAATACCATAATGAAACATGTCATGAATGATCTTTATGAAGGATCAACAACATTATCAAATCTTCATTACCCTTTTGTGACAAGTTTACTGCACGAGTACGAAAACTTGAGGTTATTATTTCAGATTATTTGTAATTCTTTGATGAAAGTGAATCGGAAACGCTGGCGAGATAACATGGACTTCCTGTATCACTTAAAAGCTTGTTATAAAAATTTTCAAAGCACAGTTACCTTACCAAAAGTGAATTTTAGACCACTTCCTGCTATAAACAATCCAAAATGGAACTCAAGAGCAATTTCTTTTCTACTTTCTTACATTCTAATACCAGATTATCAAGAATCAAAATCTGTTCAAGCAACATCCAACTTCATCTGTGCAACATCCAACTTCATCTGTGCAACATCCAACTTCATCTGTGCAACATCTAACTTCATCTGTGGTTAATAGGGTGATATATGGCTTGGTGGTCACTACTTCAATCCTGCAGATTTTTTTTAATCTTTTAGAAGCATAAAATGAGCATCCAAAGTATTAAAATTATTGTAGACATTTTGGTCCACGTAAACCTTTTTGAGATGTTGTGTAAATGTTCAATATTTTCTTAACTTTTGCATAAAAACTCCACTAAATTGAATGTTGGAATATAGGAATGCAAAATTGTTATACCCCTAAAAGACCAGAATTGATTATTTTGAACAATTTTTAGTATATTAATTGTATTTTCGTATATTAATGTAAATTGAAGCCACTCACTTAACGTTGTAACGTTAGTTTTAAAAAAATGAATTTATAAAAGAAAGAAGTACTAATTGTAATTGCAAAATAAAAATTGATCGCCCAATGAATAGAAAATGCTTATCGAAAAATGTTATTTACCAATGAATTGTTTTCTCACAAAATAACGATGATAAACAGTCTATCGGCTTAACCAAAGGTGAATGGAGAAAACGACCACAAACAGTCTTTTAAAAATAAAAAATACTCAAGATACTATGCGGTCAAAGTTTATTTGAAATCTAGAAGTAAAATATATTAACTTGAAATTAAGTTCTTCTAAAATCTGCTCTTGCCTATAAAAATGTTTCCAAAAAATTCAATGTTTGCAAGAAAAATTTAAAATAAACATCCATTTAGATGAAAAATATTATTTAAAAAATCAAAACTAATTTCTAAATGCAGACATGAGAATAAGTTTTTAAAAAATTATAAAGACAAATTACAAAAACCAAACTAAAATTATCCATATAGCAAATAATTATTTTCACAATTATTTTTTACAAAAATAATGTAGATAAACTGAACTTTCTGCTTACAGAAAACTTTTAAAACACAGAATTTAGAAAAAAGTAATTATAACAATTTATATCTTCCATCGAAAATATTTTTTATAATTTAACCTTTTTGAAAAATAGACTTTCTTTTTGATGATCTTGTTAAAGGAGAAGGCAGAAGAAAAAAATGTTTTTGTTTTACATTACTTAAATAAACATAAAAATAACAATTTTAAAAAAGTAGGAAATATAAAAAGTTGAATTATATAAAGAAATAATTGTGCTAAAATGTTTATAACTGCTAAGTTGCATTGAAAAAAAAAAAAACTTTAAATAAAAAAAAAAAAAATGGTATTTCGTAAGTAACACCATCACTTGATTTCATAAGTAACATCATCACTAGATTTCACAATTAACACCACTAGATTTCATAAACAACATCATCACTAGATTTCATAATTAACATTATTTGATTTCATAAGTAACATTATCACTAGATTTTTCAATTAACATCACTAGATTTCATAAACAACATCATCACTAGATTTCATAAGTAGCATCACTAGATTTCATAAACAACATTATCACAAGATTTCATAAATAACATCATCGCTAGATTTCATAAGTAACATCACCACTAGATTTCATAATTGACATCACTAGATTTCATAAGTAACATCATCATTAAATTGATTTAGAACCTAGATTAAGAATTACTACTAAATAAGAATCCGTCTTATGGTTCATTTTTCAAGATGATCTTATGGTTCATATAATCAAGAATCCGTCTTATGGTTCATTTTTAAATATATTTTCATTTGAATGAGCAGAGTTCGAAAGAAAGATTTACAATTGAATATATTAAAATTAGGGTTAAAAATTTCCAGGAAAATTTGCTTAATATTTCCGGGAAAATTCGCTTAAAATTTCCGGTAAAATTTGCCTAAAATTTTTCGGAAATTTTCAAAAAATTTTTATTGCAATAAACTTATATAGTTTTACAAAATTAATTTCTTTGTTTCATAAATATGCGTTTAATCGCTGTAGTCAGGCCCGAAGCAACCGGGTGGATAGCAGGGGCGTTCCCCTTCCCCCCCCTCCCCCAATTATTTTTCAAATAAATAATTTTTAAGAAATCAACTGAAAACATGACTTAAAAAAAAAAATAGGTCTATAAAACTATTTTGGGGTAGTACTGCCCACCAAGTATAATACCCAAATTCTACGGCTCTGGTAGTATTTGGGTATTCTTTGAATATTTCAACAAATGATATAATATAATAAAGACTGTCAAATGAAAAATATACATCTTTTAATCAAATTTTTACAATCAAGTTATTCAATATAAGAATCGCTTTTTTTGCAAAAGCTCAGGTCGTTATATATTACTTTTGTATACGTATATAATTTTGTGAAACAACGAAAAGTAGATGTTTTCTAAGTTAGCTTGTGTATAACATATTTCTAGCTTTTACTTCTCTCAACTGCGATGTAAAATATTCACAAAATACAAAGAAAAAAATCTTTTTTTATTATGTATTATTTTTGTAGAGTGTTTTTAAGAAATAAAGATTTTTATGCATAAAGATTGCATATAAAATTTTTAAAAATATAGAAAAGTTTTAATGTGTAAAGATTGCG